AGACCCAAAAAGAGGAATATGGTATGTACTCACTCATAAGTGGATTCTAGCCTTAATTAAAGGTCTTTGAGCCTATAATTTGTGATCCTAGAGAAGATAAATAAGAAGGTGAACCTGAAGAAAATCGTATTGTTATCCTCCTAGATATTGGAATTAGACAAGATTGCCAGGCAAACTTGGGTGCACAGGGCATGGGGGTGGAAGTAAGGGGAGATGGTTGGAGAGAAGGGAGAGGGGAAGGATTGGGGTTGGCTTGGGGGAATGGAATGGGGGGAGGGAGGAAGGATGGATGTGGGAGCACGGAGGTGTGTATCTCAACTAAGGGAGCCATTTTGGGGTTTGCAAGAGACTTGATTCTGCAGGGGTTCCCAGGCCCAAGGAGAGATTATTCCCTGGGCAGCAGAGGAGAGGGTGCCTGAACCGGCCTTAGCCCATAACCATACTGATGAATATTTTGCATATCACCATAGAACTTTCATCTGGCGATGGATGGAGATAGAGACAGAGACACACATTGGAACACTGGACTTAACTCCCTAGGTCCAAATGAGAAGCAGATGGAGGGAGACTGTGAGCAAGGAAGGCAGGATCGGAGAAAACCTTCATCCAACGATGGATGGAGATGGAGATAGAGACCCACATTGGAGCACTGGACTGAGTCCCCAAGGTCCAAATGAGGAGCAGAAGGAGGGAGAACATGAAAAAGGAAGTCTGGACAGCAAGGGGTGCGTTCACCCACTGATACAAGGGGACTGGTCTGGTGGGAGCTCACCAGGGCCAACTGGACTGGGATTGAATGAGCGTGTGATCAAACTGGATTCTCTGAATGTCCCTGACATCGGGGCTGACTGGGAGGCCATTGACAATGGCGCTGGGTCTTGTTTCGTCTGCATGTGCTGGCTTTCTGGGATCCTGGTCTGTTTGGATGCTCACCTTCCTGGACCTGGAGGGAGGGGGGGGCACTTGAACTTCCAGCAGGACAGGAGGTCCTGACTGCTCTTGGGACTGGAGAGGGAGGAGGGAAGGGAGTGGGGGGAGTGGGAGGGTATTGGGAGGAGGGAAAGAACTTGGACTTCCCACGAGGCAAGAAGCCCTGACTGCTCTTGGGACTGGAGAGGGAGGAGGCCAGGAAGTGGGGGGAATGGGAGAGTATTGGGAGGAGGGGAGGAAGTGAAAATTTTTATAAATAAATGAATAAATAAATTAAAAAACATTTAGCATATGTTCCTTGCTTAATATTCTTTATGCTGGATGTACAATTATACTTGATATCTGTTCCCAGTATATACAGTTTTGTATTGGGTTTGGAACTCTCTTATTTAAACAAAAAGGGGAGGTACTGCGGGAGCACATTCTACTCCTTCAGCCAATAGCCTTAAGTTACCAGTCCACTGGGGTGTGGTCTCTTATATTGTAAAAAGCAGCAGGAGCCATGTGCTCTCTCTTACTTCCGGCTCTTGTTCCAGCAGCTAGACTCTCTGTTTCCTGTTTGTGACAAGAGCACTGTTGTTTGGGACAACGATCTGTAAGTTTTTCCCCTCAAATAAATAACCTTTTTATTATCCATGATTCTTAACTGGTGTGGTATTGTTTTGCAGCTTCAGTGAGTGGAATATACCATGATTGGCATGGACAAGGTGATCTTGAGAACTTTCTGAATGAGTTCAGCTGCTGTTTGAGAGATCTCTAGAGACAGAGCTTGGCCAAAGAAATGGTGGCTGTCCCACAAACCCTGAGGGAGAACAGTCCATGTAAGCTGTCTGAAAGACAGGGAGTCAGGGACAAAAAGGAAGTAGGAGTCAGGGTGTAAAGGGACTGTAAAGAAGGCATCTTTTAGGTCTAGAACAGTAAAGTAGGAAGTGGTAGGAGGGATGTTAGACAGGAGATTATATGGGTTGTTAACCAGAGGGTGAACAGGAATAACTGCCTCATTTATGAGGCAGAGGTCTTGAACCAAGCAGTAAGCGCCAGAAGGCTTGTTCATGGAAAGAATTGGAGTGTTGCAGGGTGAGTAATAGGACTTAGAAGTCCTTGAGATAGGAGACAAGTGATAATAGGATGGATTAAAGGGAAGAATACAGGGAAGACACAGAAGCCCTAACATCTACAAGTTTCCCAAGGAAATAGATGTTCTAAGACACATGGCTTTACTCTCAGAAACGAGGCCATAACTCACTCATAATGGGTGGGCATTAGGGTTGTACCTGCTTGCAGAGGCAGAGAAGAGATGGACTATTTACTTTACACTGTTCTTACAGCTAAAGAGAGATGGAGATCCAATCTGCAGAGAAGGGTTACAGAGGCCACATTAAAAGCAGATAGTACAAGAGATTTATTGGGGGAGGGAAGACTCAAAGAGAGAAATGCCGTGTGGATAGGGGACATGAGAGGTGCAGACAGATAGACGGACAGAGAGAACAGGGGAAAGATAAGAGAAAAAACACAGAAAAGAAACAATGACAAGGTATGAGACACAACTGTGCCTGGTGTCCACTTTTAAAGAGCATACATGTCACATAGCTGACAGAGGAAAGGTACCTGGAGACAAGTGATGATGGAACTGCTCTGGTGGGAGAGGCAGGCTGCAACCCAGGTGAAACTAACAGTCCCGTAGAGTCACATGTTTGAATGCATCTCCTAAAGGCAGTGGTACCATTAGGAGGTGTGTCCTTGTTAGAGGAGTGTGTCACTATGGGAATACACTTAGAGGTCTCCTATGCTCAAGCTACACTCAGTGTGAAACAGTTTACTTCCTATTGCCTGTGGATCAAGACATAGAGCTCTCAGCTCCTTCTCCAGCACCATGTCTGCCTGCATGCCACCACGTCCAGCCATGATAATAATGGAATAAACCTCTAAAACTGTAAGCCAGCCCCAATTAAGTTTTTTTCTGTATAGGAGGATCCTTGGTCTTGATGTCAGCAATAGAACACTAACTGAGACAGAAGGTGGGAATATAGCACATGATCATGTAAAAGATCTTTCACATTCATGTCCTGTACTAGTGGGAACAGAAGATGAGCTTGTTGGAGGACTTTGTCTGTTTTTAGGATAACAGGTCCCTGGGGTATTAGGTACCATGATAGATGTGATATAGCAAAGAGAACAAACAGTTTAGAGAATGGAGTGAGCTGGAATTCCAAATGCGCGTGGAGACATCATCTTTAACACATGGAGACATCACCTTTAACAGGAGCCAAAGCTCTTCAATAAAGCCAGAAAGAAAATAGCAGCAGCCCAGGGAGGATGTCAATAGTTTTGGTGACTTGGAGGAGAGAAATTTGTATGGCATTGCTTCTTTCATTTCAGTGTATGAGGTCCTAGGTTTCTTTAAACTTACTTAGCATTCCACAGTTTTATGCATACATACAATGTACTTTGTTCTTGTTCCTCCCCAAATTCTACTCCTATCCCTTTTCTCTTCCCACTGAGCTCCTTCTGAGCATGCCCTCTTCTCACTTAAGGACTTCTGAGTATGTGTGCTTGTAGCATAAGTGAGTGTTGCTTGCATTTCCCTGGGTGAGTGTTAATCTCTTGAGCAAGGGAGAGTGACTAAATCTCTGAGGAATGGAACTCATCTCTGCCTCTCACCCTCAGCAACCACTAACTGTTGATAGCTACTCTGGCGGCTGGAGGTGGCTGGGGGAGCTCATACACTCCTCCCTCACTTAGATTGAGATGCTAATGGGACCAGTCCTGGGCAGAAAGCCACTGCTGCTGTGAATTTATTGGTTCAACAGCCCTGTTATATCCAGAAGGAAGGATTTCTTAGCACCCCTTCCAATCCTCTTTATAATACAAACACTTCAAATGCTTTGGAAAAACAAAGTATTTCATGGAATACAACATGGTCTGGAGTTAGACCCATATGGCTATTAACTGAATGGATATTAAATACCTTGGATAAGCTTAAAACAAGAACAAAGTAAAAGATAAGTTTCTAAAGAGGTGCCATAAACAGTTTGTTAAAGGATGAAGTGATATACTATATGTAACTGCAACAAGGTAACTAATTTTCCTTCTTTACTTAAATCACATTTCTGGGTCCCTCACAACAGTCTGCACTGGCTATGGCATGAGAGGTGTCGTTTACAGTGAAGGTGAAAGACAAGAGTGGGGGACAAAATGGACGTCCACAGAATTTTTCAGATCTAGCCAGCTTTATTCTGTGAGACCGAGGGAAAATTACTTAGAAAGTATTTCCTGAGAGTGCATTAAGATGTCTGCTCTTGCACAGGACCCAGGTTCCCTCTTAACACAGCACAGTTTACACTCATCTGTTTCCCATTCAAAGGGGATCTCTTGCCCTCTTCTAACTATCAAGGGCACTGATACATGTGGTGCATAAATAGGGGGAAAGACATTCAAACCCATAAAACAAAATGAAAAAAAAACACCTGTACCTTTTGAGGCTTAAAATAAAGAATTTAAAAATAAACTATGATGTTTCTCATGCACTTTAAAATGCCTCAAAAATGCTAGAACAGCACACAGGGAATGGCTGTCGCTAGCAATGTCTTCATGTCTGCATGGCTGGAACATGTCATGTTGTGGGAATAACTGTGTCAAAAGTTTATTAGGAACAAGGGAGATTGGTCTGTTTACTTTTGAATATTACACCAGCAATATTCAGCGGGTTGCATGTAGATTGGAGTGTAGGCAAAGAATATGTATAGATGAGGTTTAGCCAATGGCTATGTGTAGGTTAGGATGTAGGTTCTGGCTAAATGTAGGTGAGTATGTACGCCGTATTAAGAATACCTAATTTATTTTTCCAAAAGGTAAACAATTTTTCCCCCAGAGACAACATATGGTAGTAAGCACAAACAAGATTTGCATCAAAAATCATTTAATGGTAATTGAAGTTTTTCACAATGCATTTAGATTTGCTGATACAACTCATCTGTCTCAGAGTTAGTTAATATGCATGAAGCTACTTGAAGGAAGTTAAGCGTTAACACAGTCACCCATCTCTCTGGAATACGTCCTGATCAGCGTGTGAGCATTCTCCTAAGGATTAAAACAGCCTGACTATGAGTGAAGGATTTATATTGTAAGTGGTATAAATTGAACAGTTCTCTACTTTTTGAAAAGGTCACACATTTCATGACACCATGTTCCTAAGCTGAGGCAGTCTCAGATCTACAAACTGCCCGTTGTCTTCCCTTAAAACCAAACGTGCCCCACACAGCAGTGTTTTGTCTAAGTGCTGGAGCCACACACAAGGTCCTGTAGCTCACACAGCTGCCATTTTACCCAGTATCAAATTATCTCCTTAAGAACTTGTTGTCTGTATATCCAACAAGGGGCAGATGGAGAGTAATTATTGTGATAGAACGTAATGTGAATGATATCATAGGTGAAGAATTTACAGATGTGTGTGGTGACAAACTGTTTGGTCACTGTTAACAGCATCTGCTGCATCAGCTAACCAAAAAATGGAGGATTTTCATAAAACAATGAGCAGGTAAGGTAGCAGTCAGCCACTTAGGAAACAGTCTCCATTTTGCTTCTGGTTCTGGTTTACCCTGATTGTTTGAAGGGGAAACCAAGGAAGTGTGACCTTTCCCATGACTACTTCTAGAGCAAGAAAGAGACAGAATGAGCTGAACTGGAAATGCACAGCGGTTAGACTCCACAGCCTGCGACATACTGGCTGAGATCTCGGTTTTGACAGTGGGTTTTCCATGCCACCCTGTGAAGAAAAGGAGACGGGAGAAATGGTTAAGTTCCTCTCCTCTGTCACACAAGTACTCTAACCGTGAGGAGAAACAGTGTACCAGTGACACTAATGCTGATTGTTTCTGGGCCATGATCTAGTGTGAAACAAAGCTATAGCTGCAGGCAGAAGCGACTACTGATGATGGAGCTCTGTCTGCAGGGCAGTTTATTCCTCCCGAACTTGAGCAGAGCACAGGATGCTCACTGTCAATGGGACGTCTCAGGAACAGAACAGTTAGCTCACTCTACAAATAGTCTGGATATTTGAAAAGGAAGTATTTATGTATGGAATTCTCAGAATTCAGAGAAATTCCCTAAAACTAACGATGTAGAGAAAGGCCCCAACTGTGCCTGCAGAGATCAGAATGACACTTGAGCCTGAGAAAGACTCACTGCATAAAACAACAGAACCAGCAGTTTCTTCTTCTCCAGTTCCCACATACCATGCTGTAACGCCTTGTTGACTCGCAACCTTCTTTGCACATTTGATGGCTTGAGTGATGTCATCCTGGAGCAAAACTGAAAGACAGGGGTGAGGAATGACAAGGATGGTTAGAGAACCCATTTAGTTCCGATCCAGGCATCTTTCTTCTGTGACACTGAGCAGTGAATACAAGAAATTTCTTCACAACTGTCCATGCATCTGTGATTATTGGAGAGAGTCCACTTGACATGGTATAAGTCATTTTATTTCTCATTTATGATGAAAATGGGGTTGGTGTATACTTGACTGGTAGAGTGTTCTTAGAATTCCAGCACTGATAAAAAGTAGAGAACACACTGAAGTAATGAGGAGTCCCTGGAGGCTGTGTGACTGTCAGCTACCATGAGGGAAGTTCCTCTTCCTTCTCACACTGGAAATTAGAACATGCTAATAACTGTCACCTGGGTCTACCATTGGAAAATTCATCCTAAGAAAACAGATACTGCACCGATGGCTCAGTGGCTAAGAACATTTAGATGGTCTTCCAGGTGACTTAATTCCCGGAAGCATCATGGCAGCTCTTTAGTGTCCATAATACCTGTTTCACAAGATGGAATACCTCTTCTGACTTCCATAGGTACCAGGCACACAAGTGGTACACAATCCTATATGCTTGCAAAACACCCACACACATAAAGATAAATGAAAACATTAAGAAAGAAAACAATACACAAGCCTTGAGTCGATAAAGCTCTTCCTAGCAATTTATACCAGTAAAATAAGCAGAACCAGGTGCTCTGACACTCAAGACCTGAGGCTGTAGAGATAACTCAGGCTGAAGAGCACTGGGTGAACCCCAGGATCTTGAGTTCAATTCCCAGCAAACATATGGAGTCTCATAACCATCTATGATAAGATCCTCTGACCTCTTCTGGAATGCAGGGAGAACACTGTAACCATAATAAATAAACATTTTTATAAAAAAAATTTCTATACTTGTGTGGTGTTTTAAACATAGCGAATATTGTTACTGCAAATTTATTCTCTTTTTAAAATTCAGGTCAATACTTGTTACTATTAACATCTCTTGAACCTATGCAAGTATAATTTGTGTAAAAACAGGAAATCTTTACATGTTTCTCTGTGAGTACATGTGTACGTTATATATCTCTACATGAATCCACAGAATAGATGTACAGTCTAGAAGAGTATTTTCCAACGGTTTCAACTTATATAAACTCTCTAGGCAATCAAACTGGGTGTGATATTCCTCTATCCTTGTATATTCTAAACCCTTTCAATGTCTGCAGATCTACAAAATGCTTTTGCAGATAGGCTAAGGGGATAAAAAAAATATTCCACCATCTATTTCTCTTGAAATTTTAACAACCAAATTTAGCAGAGTAGAAATTAATAGTTCACTGTTTAGTGCTTGGCTAAAATGTATCAAATCTTGGGCTCACTTCCCACACTGAATAGATAGAATGACAATGACTGATTAAATTCTTGCACAGAAATTACATATTACTTTCACCATGGTATGAATTCAAGGTCTTCCATCCCAAGCCTCCATTCTGATACGAACCCTGTGTGCTCCATTTCTTGTTGAAAACAAGTTTCTTCTTAAATACATAAATCTGTTATTTTATTTGATGAGATGATGTCCATCTGGGAGTGAATAGTTTGAATATGCTAACTAAAGAGTTTTAAAACTAAATTTGAAATAAGTAATTCACTCTAAGATCTCTCAACATGAAGGGCACATCAATACATACACAAAGGAGCCAGCTGGACAAAATTCCAGGACTCCATAGTACCCTGTCTTATGATCTTTATTATAGTAATATATTCATTTCTATATGCAAGGAGTCCTTATAATAAAATCCATTATGTAAAAAGGACCATACAACAATATCTGTAACTAGCCATAAATAAACTGTTAGAATGGAAATCTTCAGAACAGAACACAAATAAGGCCACTTACAATTATTTGATGTGTATATATATATATATATATATATATATATATATCAGAAACATTCATTCATGTTATAAAATGACAATTTGTTACAAATATTTACGTTTATTATTTTTAATTATGGTTATGAGTAAGTGCGTCTGAGTACATGTTTAATGAAATGTCAAGTTTAAATGATACCATCTCTTTATTTTTATATTTTCTACTACTTTAACATGTGTGTCTCTGTGTCTGGTGGTATGTGCACCTGTAAACCTGTACATGTGTCTATTATTGTGTAGAATTCAGAGGACAGGTACAAGGCCTGTTCCTTAGAAGCAGTCCTCATTGTTTCTGAGATAAGGTCTACTATTGGAACTGGCTTACAGATTAGGCTATGCTGGTTGGCCAGTGAGGTCCATGGACTTGCCTGTCTCAGACTCTGCAGACCTGGTCTAACAAATGCACGAAACTCAGAAAAAAAAATAATGATATCTTGAAATTTGCAGACAAATGGGTAAATCTAGGAAACACCATATTGAGTGAGGTAACCAAGACCCAGAAAGGCAAATATCATATATACTTATTTGTAAGTGACTTATAGAAATAAAGCAAAAAAAACCCTACAATTCACAACCCCAGAGAACCTAGGTAATAAAGAGGACCCTGAGAGAGACATACATGAATCTACATGTATCTAATAATAAGAAGAAAAAGACAAGATCTCCTGAGTAAATTGAGAGCATGAGGATAATCGGAGATGGAAGAAGGAGAGTGGAGAGGGAGGGACAAATCGTAGAAAATTAATAGTTCAATAAAATCAATTAAAAATGAAAATACAATGATTTTATTACAAAAAAAAAAACAAATGCTTTCCACCAAATTTTTATGTGGATGCCTTGGGTCAAACTTCGGCTTAGGGACTCTTGTCTAAGCTTCCTTCCCAGGCACTATTTGGTTTGTAATTTGGGGATTTTGGAAGTGGAACCCAGGACCCTCTGATTGGTAGGTAGGGCATTCTATCAGCACACTATGTCCTAAGCCTAATGTCTTCCTTGGCGAATTATGATGTGAATGACAATGACTTTCTAACAGTCAAGACAGTCTGCCCAGGTTCCTGATGTTTGCTTCAGTGTTGTCTCCTGCACAGAATCTCTGCTCTCACACCTAGGAGCAGGTGACTTGTTTGCTATCTGTACTAATCATGCCCTGTCTTACCGCTGCAGGATATTCCACAGGTGTTCACTGCATTCGGGGTTTTGCCATCATTGCACCAGTATTTGCTATTGATCTGAAATATCCCGTAGTCGGTGCTTTTGGGTCCAGAGTTGTAGTTTGTAGCCTTTGTGTTAAAGCTGCTCTCATGTTGAGCCAAACACACCCCTAGAAAGAAAAAGAATATTCATCAATAAGCAGCAAGAGCAAATGATTTATACTGGATACCAAAATTAGTTTATTGTTCTTGCTGTCTTTTACAAATGATTTATTTGTAACTACAAACATATGATTAAAATATAAAATATGATACAAGTTCAAGCCAGGCCTGGCTGTGTTCCTCAGAGTAGTCCCTGGTCTCAGTGATCCTTCTGCCTCTGCCTTTCAACTAGGTAGAACTGCTGTCCCTACCAGCCAATGAAAATTTTCAAATGCTCCAAACAGAATCTATTTGAAAACAAATCGATTTGCACTGAGAATAAACAAGATAAGGTCCTTGCAAAATATTCAAATATATGAAACAGACACAGTGGTACTCAATTATATTCTCAGCAGTGGTTAGGTAGAGGCTGGTGAATCTGTATGGGTTTGAGACAGCCTGGTTTATATAGCGAGTTCCAGGCCAAACAGTGCTATAGAATGAAATCATTCCCCCTGCTCTTCAAAATAAAATAGCTCTTTCTTCCACTGTTTCTCCCTCTTCCATCTATTCTCGAAACCCTTCTGCCAGAAATAGAATCATAGAGTAATTAGGCAAATTTGATAAATTAATCGCAAATACATATGGTAATAGAAGATTTCCTATGAGAAAACTAAGGATTTCCTAAGATAATGCTTTAATAACCAAAGGGAATTTGCATGTTAACTTAGAATTCTTTTTTTTTCTTCTGTGGCACTAAGTATCCTACTTTTGCAGAAGATTGAACATGCAATCTCCTGTCTCAGCGTTCCATTGTTTGAATTCCATGAGTGTGTAGCACCACAAATGGCTGGTGAGAATATTGAAAGCAAGACCATTAGAATAGGAAAAGCTATTCTACAATCCAGTCAAGTTCATCAGTTCACCCATACATCTAACCACAAATCTATCCAAACATTCATCCATACATCCATCCATTCATTCAATCAATCTTCCGTAGGTCCACCCATTCATCCACACATGCGTCTCTCGGCTCATTTGTTCATGGACAATTAGTTATTGAGTAGTAACGGTCTTAATCTAATCTGAAAACCACACTAGTTATAATGTGATAGTAGGAGTAAGTCATGAACAACTGTTATTCATCCATATCTTCCACTGTGTAGAATGAAAGGCCATAGCAGAGTGAAGAAACACACTAAATCATTACACCCACAGTCTCAGACATCACTTAAGCAGCATCTAGGGGGAAATCGGATTCCTCTGCCCTGCAGAGGAAGTTCAAAAAGCTTGAAAACATTTCTCTAAAACTCTCCATAGCATAGTGAAAGAAATGAAGACAGATGCCAGTCACTCCAGCTCTGAGAACTCCAGCTCTGAGCCCTCCTTGTTTTCTCAGCCCCCTGTGGACTTTCCAGTCTGAAGCAACCTGAAAACCCAGTGACACTCTAAGGGCGCCTCTGGTTCTTTTGTCTTAGCCTGGCACAGACGTCCCTCCCGTGCTCTCCTCACCCCAGTACCTGTGATGATAAAGAGAAATGCTGATGTTTTCAATCAAACCAAGTCAAACACACAGGAATCCCACAAGCTTATTGACTCTGGGTCCTGCTCTGCTCACTTATTGCTTTCTTATAACTGTTCTATAGGGGCTGCTTGTCTAAGAAGAGACTTACAGTCTGCCAGGCTGATTCCCTTGTAGCCATCCAAGCCATTTTCCTTCAAAAGTTTGGCTAACTCGCAGCGTGTATAGACCTTCGCATGGACGGTAGCAGAGAGCAAGAGGAACCCTAGGGCTAGGAGAGCCTTCATTTTGCCTGGGAATCAACTCCGCAGCTGCCTGGAGCACACCAACACCAGTATTTAAGCATCTTTTAACTCCCATCATCCTCTAGTGGTTTGGGGGATCTTCCATGTGAACTTTGTACCAAGCAGGAAGTTCTTATTGATCCATAAACTTGAAAATATTTTTTTATTTTCTCCCAGTGTTTGAACAGAGATGTTCTGTTCTATAGACAGTGATGAAATGAGACCGTGTAAAGACTTTGCTCACAGAGAACCAGATTGCAATCCTCCTAAACATGAAGCCCATATTATTTTATCTTGAATATGATCAATATAGAGAGAAAAGCGGTTATGTTTTACTGCTTAAAAAAGGTGTGGCTATAAATCATACGTATATTAAAATGTATTGTTTTTTGTGTATTTACCATTTTGTATGTCTTTTTCGCCTCAAACTCTCTCACATAGACCTGCCCACATAAGTAATCTCTTAGTATTTATGGTTATATGTCTTTGCTTAGTCAGTTTCCTTTTGTAGACTTCTAGATTGCATTATACATTTTATATTGTTGCAAACCAGTGTCCTGGTTTTTTTCTGTGACAAGGTCTCACTGTGCAACCCTGACTGGTTTGTAAATTGTTATTAGAGTACAGTGTACTTGAACTGTTCTTCCTCCTGTGTGCTGGGGTTAAACATATGGGCAACCATGAAGAGCAATCAGTTATTTTTTATTCGTTTTGAATAAAAGGATTTATTCAAGTCCTTTCTGAGCATAAACAAAGGAATGGAAAACCAATATACTGGTCATCATTTGACATAAGAAACAGTGTCTTTAAAGCCCTGCAAACTTTCTGTCCATACCCTGAATGACAGTTAATACAGAGCTGCGTTCATCGAGCCTCGTTGTCACATTTCCTCGGACCTTCACATTCCAAATAAAGACACAATTTACAACGTTGTGAGAGTGGATCAGGATGGAAACAGAACTCCGTGCAGTGAGGTGTATCAGCAGGAAGATGTTGAGGAAGATGTGTAAGGCAATGCGGGTGTCTGAGAAGAAAATGCAATTGGAGGAAACTGCACCACAAACTGATGACCCAAACGACAGTAGGATCTAGACTCTTACCCTAGAGATAATGGGGAAATATTCGTGAATATTTAACTGCACTTTTGGGCAGTAGAATACTTACCTAGTGTGCACAAAACGTTGGAATGCATTCTTAACCCCATAAACCTAGGAATGGTGCTGCAAGCCTATAATTTCGGCACTCAAGAGGTAGAGAAGTAGGAGGACTAGAAGGTTCAAGGTCATTGTTGGGTAAGTACCCAGTTTAAAATCTGCTGTCTGAGATTCTGTGTCCCTCTGCCTTCTCAGTTCAAAATTAGGGCTGGGCTGATGGCTCAGCAGGTAAACTGCTCTCTGTGCAAACATAGAGGATCAAAGGTTATTACCCAGAACCCATGTACAATGCCTGGTGACACGGTGCTCAGCCTGAAGTCCCAGCATATGGTGTGTGGAGACCTAGATTCCTAGAGTAAGCTGGCCAGTGGGACAATCCAAAATGGTGAGGTCCTTGATCAGTGAGAGACCCTGCCTCAAAGTGTAATGTGGAGAGCAACTAAGAAAGATACTGAATGTCAGCCTTGGCCTCCACAATAGTGCCTTTGTGAATGTGTGCAGATGACCTAGGTTAGGGTTGCTGCATTAGCGTGGGAGAGTGTTCCTCACTTGATCAAGAGCAATTTCTAGTGGCTACACCACTGAGGAAGGTTACTCCTTTCCCACTCTGTCCAGCAACCATTTCCTCTTGATAGCTCCTCTGGGAGGGATGAGGTCTCATACACCCCTCCCTCAGTGACTGGGTTCTGGGCCAAGATCTAGCGTGAAACACAGGCTGTTTATAATCTAAGGCTTGGGGATACCTCCCTCACAGGATTATGACATGTTTGCCTCCCATAAATGTTTCCACTCATTCTGTAGAGCTCACCACACCATGAATTGTGTTCCAGTCAGCATGATGAACTTTCCCGTAACTGCTGTGAGGACAAGGAGGATGGTGTGTGCCTTGGTCCTCCCTCAACCCAGAGTATGGTTAAAAGGCATGCCTAGCTCAGTGTAGCTGCTAGTTAAATACTTTAGATGCTATATTTACCCCTAGCGGGCTGGGATTAGTCATACCAGTCCAATCAGGTAAGAGAATCAAAAGATAACTGTGCTTTAAGAATCAGAATCAGACAACAGGCATCAGCATCACTGGACAGGAGGCTTCAAAACTCTTACTGGATCTCCTGGCTTATACCTATGGCTGTTCCTTTAATATACATTTTGAGAAGGAAACAGCAGAAGTGCAGCCCCAGGGAGGATGGGTGCAGGCAGCCCCAGGAGCAGAGTTCCCTCAGGTGTCTGGGGCAAATGCACAGCAGAGGCCAACTAGGCTGTTGCTGCTTAGGCTGCGTCATCAATCACGGCTTTGTAACAGTAACCTTTAGTTGGGTTCTGTTTGTTTTGTTTGTTAGAAACTGGCACAATGGTGGCAGTGTGGCAGAAATAGCACTGTTTACTCAGACCTTTGGAATATATTGAGCTGTCATTTTTGTCAGTGTTAAACTGTTTCCTGATGCAAGGGGCAACGGAGGTCAGACTGCAGCTTTGATTAAACGTAGGTGATGTCCAGAGATGGGATTGTGTCTGGAGACTTGGAAAGGAAATTCACTGCCTTCTTTTGCCTAATTTTCACTGAGCAGGAGTTTCAACTCAGAGTCATTGATTATTTAAAGGCCAGAAATTGAACATTAATCTTCAAACCAAATACACTGGTTTTGACTTTCACACACCCAAATTCTGGGCTAGCAACCCAGGCATTACAGGGACCACCAAAATACCACTTCTGTGTTAGGGGTAAGACATCCTGCTTGCACTCACAAAAAGTCACCTGACCCAGGAAGCAAAAAGCAGCTGCTTAGGATAGTCTGTGTCTTTAGGGACACGACAGTTAGAAAATTGCATTTTTATGCAATTTTTCATGCCATTTTAATATTAATACAAAAAGGAAAGCAATGGTTCAGATACAAGATCAGAGAGTGGTCCTATAAATTCCAGTGCAATAAAACTGATTCTAGAAGACAATTGCAAACAGACCTCTGAAGATGACGTCACAGTTCCAAAGGGTTCTGAAGGGCAGAAACCAGGAAGCTTTTTCAAAATAAAAAGGAAAAAAAAAAAGTACAGTGCCTGGGACACCAGCGGTCATCTCACTCCCGTTTTCATTCTCATTCAAGTCAGAAGAACGAAATCTATTTCAACTATGAGTGGGAGTGAGCTTGTTATTCATAAATGGAAATTTCACCTTCTTTTTCTAATTTGTCATCTTGTTCTAAACCACAATTCTTACTGAGTGCAAAGGCAGTAATTCTCTTTCTGAATTAAAAACAAAATCAAAAACAAATTACATTTCCTGTGCAGGAATTTCCAAGTGTCTCAAGAAACAACAGTCAAAAAGCAAATAAACAAACAAAAAAAACCTCCAAAAAACTAAAACAAACAAAGAGGGGAGCTCTCAGAGCAAGTCCAGTCTCCTCCTGAGACAGACATTCAGTGGTTGTAGCTGAAGCTGAGGTCATCCTCCAGAAGCAGAAGGCTCCTCCCCTGAGCTTCCTGACCTCTGAGATGAGCAATGTGTGCTCTCTTTACCCAACAGCTATGTCCCCTTCAGGACGATTCTTGTCCTTGCCCTGGGCCTCATGTAGACGTGGGTTGTAGAACATGCCTTAGCACTCCTAGTAAATGTTCTTAATGCAACCGAATTTTTCTTTTATAATATAATTTATATTTTCTCTGTATAAAAATTCTATTTTATTATATCATTGAAATTAAGCATCCGACCTGTTCCATGCATGTGATTTTCTTCTTTTGTCTATGAGATACACATTATGGGTCATGTTTTATTGTATTTCCTGAGCGCCTTTTTTCTGAATTCTTGTTTCTAAATGATTGCTTTGACCTGTCTTTCATATTAATTTTGAATAGTGTGTGGTGATTTTTGGTTGGTTTTATACAGCCCTAAACACTAAGTGACTAACTGGAAAATTGGTAAACTCTGTAGGTGATATCAAAGGCAAATGAATTGAACTGGCCGTTTCAAAGGTAGTCACAAGTATTAGGATAAAAATGTCTTTTCTCCTTCTTGAGATGATTGCCACAGACAAAAATCATTTTGAGTCCTACCTGAGGTAATTATGTCAGGGGTAACCCAAGTTGCTCCAATGCGGCTGGCGGAAATGGGTCCTGGCTTATGGCTCAGAATGCAGGTTTTATTTTATCACCCAATTTGCATTATGACATTATAACTCTGATTGTAACCACCCTGTCCCTGGACTGGTGTTTCTATAACTTTTTAAAAGGATGAGAACAAATGTCCAAACGTTCATATAGGACACCAACAATAGATTAAAGTTACAATTCACCAAAGTTCAACTCAGAGAGGCAAGGAGTGCAGTGGGTTTGGGTACAGAACATAAATAAGATATTCCTTAAAGAGCCAGAAGTAAGGAAACAGCTAGCTGCCTCACTGAGTTCCCACCCATCATGAATGACCACATCATGAAAGTTCATCATGGAGTTTCCCCTCCCAGCTAACGTATATTATACTCAATAACGACCCAGGATCACTAGCAGTTGGGAAAGGCAGAAGGGTATAATGGCTGGAGTCCATGATGATAGAGTCATGGATTCTCTCTTCCTCTGCCTACTGGAAGTGTTGACATCCTATTATCATTGCCTACCCATTCCTTACTAGCTGACTCTGCTCATTGCCAAGGCCAGCAGGTGATCTCTCTGCACCAAGATGAAGATTATTTTCTGCCTGTAAGAGAGCATCCTACTCCAGCAGCTGGGGATCTACATATGCTAGAATGCACTCTACCACTGGGCTACATCCCAGGCCATCTGCTGTGCCTTGAGTCTCAAATCCAGAGTGTCCAGTTCATCCTCTCCTAAGAGTAATTGTGCCGTTCTTCCTCTGAGCCTTCT